CATTCTTGCAGAACCATAGGTGAGGGTTGGAACGAAGATCGACTGGTAAATTGAGAGCTTTGTCTTCCGTCTCAGCTCCGTCGTTACCACGAGGGTTCGGTACAACACTTCCATGATGCTGCACCAATCAGTCTGTCCTTCTCAAGTTTCATGTTCCCGTCACTCGCAAGCAAGATCCCAAGATACCTCAATGCCTTCACTTGGGGCAGCAACTTACTCTGAATCATAGCCTCAGATTTGGAAATGCTGCAGATCTCCCCAATGGCCGGTAAAGGCCACAACCTGGTGATACCATTAAACCCCATCATCTACAAAAAATAGACACAACTCTGAGGTTCCTAAATTGACTCCCTCCTCACCTCAGATGCGTTTTCAAATCCTGTCCAAGAATATTGCAAGCAGGATCGGACACAAGGGGAAACCTTGGTGAAACCAAACACCCACCAGAAACGTTGGGTTGGAAATGAAGTGGAGCTGAACCTATAATTACTATTTCTTCAGTTAAGGTTGCGATCGTCCAAACATTCATGTAATGTAGCCACGTTCCTGTCATGAAACAATGACTCTCTGCAACTCCTTTGAGCCTTCAGTGGTACATGTTGCTTCCAGTAAATAGCCATCGCCACCAAATCTGAACTTCCATCGTCTTAAGCATCCTCATGACCCCCGTAATGAACGGTTGATCCCAACAATTGTGCTACAACGTCTCTGTAGCTTATATTTACCAGCGCCACAACTGTACTGAGCTCCACTTTGGTCACCGTTCAGAATCCTGCTAATTCGACATCATGTTGGACCTCCTCCTCTTTGTTACCGCTCGTCTCTGCTCACTGGGCCTTTCCTGAGTCGCTTTGTCCTTTGCTGCGTCTCCACTCATGTCAACTGCCATATCTGGGTTGCTGCTCCTATTGCCAGGAAGGATGAAACATTTATGAACCCTGAGGCACACACACACAAACACACCAGCTGTCTCCTCGCCTTGTGCCTCGAAATTGTTCTCCATCCGGCTGTTTCCCTGCCCTGCCTCCCACATTGTGAATTCATGAACTTCTTGCCCTGCCATTCCCAATCAGCGCTCAAGGAGCAGCAGTCTGATTTTGTCAAAGTGACGCAATGTCAAGGTGCTGCTAAATGTTCTTACGTTTCATCCCGACTGACAGCTTGAAGAGCATAATTCAGCCCCGGGAGGGTTTTGTGAGGCGCAAAGAAAGTCCTTCGCTTCGACAGTACAGTTAAAGAGAGGTAATTCAGAGAAGTATGGCGTACCTTTCAGAGTGAATTACATTGTTCAAGAGTGGACGGTGAGACACAAGAGGATCCTTTGTGGGATTTTTTTTTAAAGAGCAAACAACATGACTGAAAACCATATGAGTGTCTTCTGTGATTGGTAATGACGCTGAGGAATTTTCAGAAGGGAAGAGCAGCAAATGAAATTCATTTCGTTTAATCACTGCTGCTCCTCATGTTCCTCAAATAGTCTTGTGGTTAAAGAACCATTTCTCCTTTCGGGCCTTTTCCAGTTAGCGGTTCCTTTGACGAGTACAGGGAACACTCACGCTCACGAGGATGCTTGGGCGGCTGCTTGCTTTTTGCAGTTTAATTAATTCAGCTCTTGAACTCCGGCTCTGCTCGCGGCCTCGGCTGCCGCTTTCCCACGTCCGTCCGTCCTTCAGAAAGAATCCGCATTGGGACGAGTGTTGTCCAATCTGAGCGGCTGAGAGCACTTCAGTCCGACAAAAGCGCCAATCAGAGGGGCTTCAATCAAAGGTGGACACCAATTTGGACAATCAGTCGCCGTAATAAAAACTTTAAATCTCTTTCGTTAAACTAATACTTATTTTAAGAGTCAACAGCAACCAAGAAACAATCAGTTTACTGTTATCATGTGTGTAAACTGCAATTTTACACTTATGTTCCAATGATTTGTTGTTGCAGTTTGTGCACAGTTTGAACTGATCGATTGGTTCACATTACCGGGAAAAAGGAGGACATTAAGTGTTCCAACATGTTTATGATTTGTGCTATAAAAAGGCCACATTTCATCTACTAGTTAACAACATTTAATTAGTAAAGAAAGACTGAAAGCATCTGTTAATGCCAAACCTTTAAACTTCAAAGCTGAGGTGATGATCACTTCTAATTTTTTTGCAATATTTATTAAATGAAATCATATTGTATAAACATCCCTATTCATCTCTTGAGCATCCAACCATATTGCAAAGCGTTAAACTGATGAAATAATAATGTTAAACAGCAAGAACAACCATAAACAATCACATCACCGTCCCTGGCAGCCTCCACTGGCCTCCACACAAGACTTTTATGCATAACCCCCCTCCCTCCATTTTTTAAATTATATACCAGCATGCCTGATTTTGTTATGTACAGTATCTGCTGTGTTGCTTTGTGGCACAAAACCAGCGAGAGGATAATGTTTCCGGTAACATAAAACCAGACAATGTCAAAAGAAAGAATAAAATCTTTTCAGACATGTTTGGCCACTGAAAGATACCAACAAAATCGCCTGGAGAGAAGGACAAGTAGCGACATCTTTTTTCCATCACCGAGCATCGCTGTTTACTCGAAACACGATCTTAATATCAAGGATACCGCTGGAATGAGGCTAGCCGTCGGTAGCGTTGTGGTCTCATTTGTCTGCAGCAGGTAATTTTCTCAGCTGCATATTAATGTTAATTCCTGTGACACTTGTGTAATTGCTGAATGTGTTTTCCTTCGTGGTAAACGGCAGCTCTGGGTGGAAGCCACACAAAATAATTGATTCTGATTCTCGAGAGATAACAAACACTTGCCTTTTTCAGGGTTTGTGTATGGATGCGCATGGATGTGTTACTAATATATACCAGAATTTTCAGACTTTTGAGCGAATATAAGCCGCACCCACGAACTTTAAAAAGGAAAAAAAAATTGTACATGTACAGGCCGCACTTGCCTGTAAGCCGCAGGTGTTCACGTTGTAACATGAGATATTTACACAGATTTCTTTAAACTTTTAGTTAAATATGCACCAGTAACATACACAAATACGTACCGTAAATGCTTTTTTTTTTCCAAACAGTGCCTATAACACGGCTAGTTCTGTGAAAAAAGTAGCAGCTTATAGTCCAGAAATTACGGTACATGCTTCTGAAAGAGAAATTCAATATCTTGCTTGAAATTTAAACTCTTTTCACTTGTTTGTGAGTCTCCGAATTTAAATTTGCAAGACATGATGCAGGAATATCGACTAACTGTGGAACTTGCAGGAGCCAAGAGCAGAATACTGATGTGCGCACACGATTGATTCTTGTGTGACTCCTCTCGTTGTGCTCGTTCATGTTTGGAGAACCTGTCATCTCCTCGCGGAGCTGCAGAGCACAGCTCCAAAACAGCATCTCTTTGACACTGCTCGTCTCCAGCGCTCCCTGCCTCTCAGCCCGTATGAACCATGCATGAGAGTCTCTTTCCTGCTACAAAACAAGCGTTCCCAAAAAGAGCCGGGGCTGAAGTAACACTGACACCTTGAATGGCTCTTTCTGAGCCGTGATGCGACCCCTGCGCTCACTTGTAGTCCTGCTGCTGAATAGACCCCCGTGAGAGTGGGAGTGAGGGGGGCAGGGGGTTACTTCAGAAGGTACCCCACAACTTAATTAAAGTGCTGAACATGTCACAAAAGACTCTGAAGGGGTTAAAGAAGGTTACTCGCACAAAACGTTTTGCAGGGGAAAGAAATGTGGAAATAGAGATGCTCGTTGTTGTTCGTTTATTCCCTCGCTGCTCCCACACTTAGAGCTCGTTTAAAGGACTTTTGTGTTTTTTTTGTAATTTATGATGAACTGTTGAACATTATCTGATCAAAAGGAAACAAGAGTTTACCTTGAACTCATCAACATAATCCGATTTAGCCTCTGAATGCTGAATGCTGGCTTACTTTGTAGTATCTTTTCTGTATCTGCTACTAATCAGGATTTGGTTTGGGGCTGGAATTCCTCATGTTAGTGTTTCCAAGCAGCAGATCAACATTTAACAGTAGAAAACAGAGTCAAAATGTGTCTGCAGGAGGAGAAGTTGTAGCTTTTGAACCTCATGCACATTAAAATCCTTATTTCTGCTCACAACTGCACTGTAATGTGCTGTTTATTGTATATCTTATTTATAAGGGTGGGATTAAAGCAGAGCTTTCCTTCACTGTATGCTCCTGAACACGCATTAAATCTGTTTAATTCAAACATTTGAACTTCAAGGCTGAAGTGATAATCATTTCTTTGGTTTGATGTGAATAAACTTTTTTGTGTGTTTGTAGTAGTTATTAAATGAAATCAGATTTTATAAACATCCTCATCTATCTTTTGAACATTCAGAGACAATGTACAGCATTAACCTGGTGCCATATTAATGTTACATCACCATCACTGGCCTCCACAAAACATTTGAAATGCATAAAGCCCTTTTTTTTTTTTATTATTTCATTCCACTATGTCTGATTTTGTGTGCGATTTGTGTTGCTTTATGGCACCAAACCAGCACACAGTGAACATAATGTTTCTGGTGACATACAACCAGAGAATGTCAAAAGGAAAAATCTTTCCAAACATGTTTGGCCACTTCAAGATACTAACAAAATGAAGAGAAGGACGAGAAGCGACATCTTTTTTTTTTTTCCATCACTGGGATTCGCTGTTTACTCGAAAATGATGTTAATCTTAATTTCAAGGAGTTTGCAGACAGTTCTTCTCATCTGCACTGTTTGCTGCTAAATGCATTTAACTTCTCCATGATGATGAATTGAGCCATTATCAGTGTCTGTGAGAACCAGGTGCATGTGGAGAGCGCAGCCTGCGGTGCGTAAAGGAGGGGCAGGTCTGTGGAGCTACTGCGCGCTCCCTCTCTGCTGTAAAGGCGTGGTAGCTCTCTCTCCTCCTCTCTCTCTCTCTCTCTCTCCCCTCTTGGCTGAGACAGACTTCTGTTGGGCAGCTGTTGAAGCTTTTCTACAGCAGTGTATCTGCTCAGAGCGCGGCAGTCACTCCGCGGATAAGGACACTCAGGTGCTCGGTGTTTTTACGCACGGAGGGGGGATTACCTGACAATGCTGACAACGTGAAGAGGATAAAAAACCCACAATAAATCTTCGGGGATATTGTGTTTGATTGTTGGCATTTAGAAACTCAGCATCTGTTTAAAGCGGGAGAACATCTACAGTAGAATGAAGGGATTTACACCTTTCTGCAGCTTGATTATTGCTGCGCTACTTTTGGCCACCGTCTCTGCGACCAAGTTAAATGTGCCGCGACTGAGGCTCTCCTACAAAGGTAATCATCTATCTATCTATCTATCTATCTATCTATCTATCTATCTATCTATCTATCTATCTATCTATCTATCTATCTATCTATCTATCTATCTTGTGCGTAATTTGTCCCCAGGTGGCCCCACATTATAATCTTGATTTAGAGTCTTTTCTCTTGTTTTCTCCTCTAAACAGCTGAACTTAACAACCACCTCTAGTTTGTTTTTTTTTTCTTTTTCTTTATAAAACTCTTCTCTTCGCGGTGGTCCCGAGCTGGAAGCGTTAATTCCAGGTCGGTCTTTTGGCTACCGTTTCTGGGGCTTTATGTGTTTCAGGAGGCGCACATACGTTCATTTGCACGTTTTCCAGGCGGGGTGCGCAGCCGGAGGAGGTTTTGGCGGAGGTTCATGTCTCTGCGGTTGAGATCCACCGGGGTGCGATCATCTCGTTACAGAAGTTTATTAGGACCGGCAACCGCGACCGAATAGTCCGAATGATGATGTGGACTGGACACGGCTGCTGTTGTCCTGCAGATGTGGATTTTTTTTGTGTGTTTCTGGAGGCTCAGATTGTTTAAAGCGTGACATTTAATTAGTAAAAGTGTGATTCTGTGGTTTGCTGGCTGCGTAATAACTCCATATCTTCACAAAGCTGAGACATTTCCATATACAGTGTGTTTTCCTCTGTTCACACGCCTCTCCCCTCTCTAATCTAAAACCCTGTTGTTGGCCATGACTCACTCAACTTAAATGATAATAAGCCAGTAAAGTGTGTGTGTGTGTGTGTGTGTGTGTGTGTGTGTAGGTGATGTTGACTGTGTTGTTGCTCATTGTTTGGCTTCACTCAGGCCAAAGCAGTTCTGCAATCACCATCATCAGTGCTTAGATATCACACAGGATTTCCTCCTGTTCAGTTTTCAGGAGAAAAGTCACCGTCTGAGCTTACTGGTCTTCCTGTTGGCTGAACTGGAAATAAATTCTGGTCAGTGGAGGGGGAAACCAGTACAGAATTAGAAAGAATAAATGGAGGGGGTATTCGAATATTTAGGCCTTAACGTGGGAGGAAAGAGGGACAGAAAATGAGTGAAAATGAGTTTTCTTTGCTTCATACTTGAGAGTTTTTCCTTTTAAATCACACATTTCTTTTTTTCCCTGAATCATAGCTTACCTAAGGATGTTGGTGGGTTGATCTGGAGCAAGTTCTGTTACGAACCTACTGCTCAAGTCCCTGAATATTCATGATCCCCAGAGGATTGCATCTAGTTACTGTGGTCGGCCCTTTCTTTTTCTTGTGTTACTATTGCAATAAGATAAGCCTTTATTAATCTCACAGTGGGGAAATTTATCAGTAAAAATAACCAGAAGTATTAATTGAGATTGTCCGGATTCGTCTGTGTGGAAATATTGCACGGATTCCTTTATGAGTAGAAAAGGCCAAACCAAAATTTCCCATTACTGCACATTAAAATGCGAAAATCCGGTGAACAAATCACTCTGATATCGTCTGAGCGCGCTCGTTCTCCTCAGAGGACGAGCTCCTTTTTGAACATTTTATCAGTTGAGCACACTTACGACCCTGCAGAAGCTTTTTTTTTCTTCTCTCCAGCAGACAGTACATAGAAAATCCTTCTTTAAATTTGAGGAGCAGAGGCAGAGCAGTGGAACTTCTCTTATTGAACAAACAAAGTCAAGCCCTGGGCAAACACCAGAAGTGGAAAAAAGCAGTGCCCACGATTGTGACTCACTGCACTTAAGTCATGTAAAGTCTCTTTTTGAAGTCGCAGATTTTCGCTTTGGTTGAACAGTAAACGGCACCAAAGCTATAAAACCATTTTTACTTTATTGCTTGTCATCAAAAAAACACTCTGCTCTCATTTTGTGAGCATCATGAGGAGTGTGGGAAGAACTCAGCCTATGAGATTCTCATTAGTGACCAGCCAGGTCTTTGCTTCCTGCCTCGGCGACCTTAAATCTGACCCCCACGGTTTACCCTCTTTTACATAATTTCCCCCTTGACTCAAGTCGTCCCTTCTCTCCTCTCCGTTTTCCCAGTAAATCTCCACCTCGTTTCTCCAAGCGTCTCATCTTTTCTCTCTTTAGTCTAATTTCTTTCTCCTCCGTCTCGCGTCTTTCTTTCCCTTCTGTTTGTCTGTCTCATCCTTCATCGGCCTCTTCTCTTCCAGCGAAGCCCACAGGGTGTTTGTATTCCCAGGAGGATGTGGCAGTAATTTGGCGACAGGAAAAGCTGTGATTATCTCATTTCAATCAATTAGTGGGTAGAAGTTCAAGCAGGAAGAAGGCCATTTTTACCTCAGACAAACTATTAAAGTGCTTCTACTCCTCTCTGCTCCTTTTACTGACTTCGAATGCTGCAGATTTGGCGATCTACATATTATTGAGTCTTTGTGTGAACAGCAGAACAATATCTGTACCAAATAGTTCCCAGTTCTGATTTAAATGTTTGACCAACCAATATCCAAATCATCCCATTTTGGGGTATTCTTATGTTATTGTTTAACTATTTTCTCTTTCCTTCAAATCATTTTCACTGTCCTCAGGCAACCATTTATCTAGCTTGACTTTTCAGATGGAGGTTGCAGTCTGATCAGTCGAAAGTTGCTTAATCAGATACATAAAGCCAGTGGGCATCATTTTATGTCCGGATGTAGCTGTTCTGAATAGGATCACATGACATAAAGACTCACACCTAGCCATCAAAAGACCCTAACGAACCCCTTTGTGCCAGAGGGAGCACTAACGACTCACATATCGAGGTGGAGGAGCAATAAACCCCCAATTGAAAACTCAGGTGTTAATGTCTGCTTAAGGATATAAGTATCTGGAACTCCCAACTAGTCAGTCAGAACTGATGAAGCCTCTTGGATAAGAGATGGAACGTCTTCAAGGAACTCAAGCAGTTGCTACGATTAATCTACCAGAATAACCATGACCTGGATGACTGAGAATCTTCACAGACTTTATCCTCTAGTGTTGCACTTCAGCTTACCTACAGAATGAGTACTCTGGTAGGTAGGCATCAAGTGTCACAGGAGACTTTGTCATGGTGACTAAATTACTCCCCTCAAAATGCTTTCTGCTTCCCAACATGGAACGACTGTTAGTCCGACTGCCCGCCTCCTCAGGTCGCTTTAACAGTGAAAGTCTCCACCTGGTGGCGTAACCAGGTACTACAGCTAATCGACAATATATTTTCTAACACGCGTCTTTCGTCTTCTGCCTTATCAGTTCATATGTTTTTAATTCGTTAAATTATGTACTGTCAATAATTTATCCTTAGTAGAGAGGGCTGCAGGGTGGCGCAGTTGGTAGCACTGTTGCCTCACAGCAAGAAGGTTGCATCCCGGTGAGGACACCTAGGATCTTTCTGTGTGGAGTCTCCATGTTCTCCCCATGCAGCGTGGGTTCTCTCCGGGTTCTCCAGCTTCCTCTCACAGTCCAAAAACATGCTGAGGTTAATTGGTGATTCTAAATTGTCTAATTGTCTGTAGGTGTGAATGTGAGTGTGCTTGGTTGGTCTCTAAGTGTAGTCCTATGATAGACTGGTGACCTGTCCAGGGTGTCCCCTGCCTTCACCCTGAGTCAGCTGGGATAGACTCCAGCCCCCCATGACCCTAGTGAGGATTAAGCGGTGTATAGATAATGGATGGATCCTTGTTAGAGTTTCCATTTTAATACATGTATGGAAGTCCACTCGTCGCTATTTTGTTGTACAACCAAAGTCGTGTCTTTTGCTTGGCCCTGCCCAAGAAATACAAACAAGCCAGAACTCTTTCCCCCTGTACAACAGAGTGACAGTGAGGTGCAGCCAGACCATTGTGTTCTACAGAATGGGCTGGCAGAACGAGACTATTTATCTGACAGTGAAATGTTTAGGGAGAATTTTAGGCTGTCAAGACCTAATTTGCAAATTTAGTCTCTCAACTGAAAGAGTAAGAATGTGTGTGTTCGTGAGGTGACATTGCGGCATCGATGGGATGTAGTGTGTGTGTGTGTGTGCTGTTGGCTGGACTCCCAGCCCTCTGCCAAGCATCTATACAAACTTCCCATCATGCATCTCTCTCCGTCTTTCTCTTTCTGTCCCTGTACGTCTTTCATTTGACCTCCTCTCCCTTCAGCTTCGCCTGCGTCCCATTCGACTCCTTTGTTTGCCGTTTGTGTCCTCACACACACCAACACACACTGACTTTGGACACACACTCTCTGTCTATTACAATATTCACTTTGTCTTGATTAAGCAGGGGGTGTGGGGGGCACTTGAAAACACAAACGCTCACATCGGCGTCCCATGTTGATCGGATTGCGCTGGTTCTCAGAGTTAAAGGGTTCTGTTTGTTTTTGCTTACATCCTGTGAATTAACAAGTTTGTTTTCTCAGTTGGCATCACCCAGATGCTTACACACAGGCGGCTGTTGGTTGTTCTTAGGCGGAGCTGGGTAATCTGTCACTGGGAGTCAGATGCAGACTCCAGAGTTGATGGAATGTAGGGCGTCTCTCATCCCGTCTCTCTTTTCTTTCATCCATCCCTTTCCATCCGTCTCTCCTCCCCTGCCTCATGTAATTCAGTCCTCATCTCTCGTGCTTTTCTCAAGTTTGGTTGAAATGCTCCGAGGCAGTGACCTGATCTGAAACCCACCAAAACAAAAGAGAGAAACTAAAAGCACCAAAGCCAACTGGCTGGTCAGACATGTTATTTATTTTTTACTACGATGTATATAAGCTGGACTTCTAAGAAATATTGGGAAGCAGAGAAGCCTATAGAGGTTTTAATGTTTTAGTAATGGCTGACATGTGTTTGAATGTGAAATGTTTGTGTAAAGTCCTAACATATAGTCAAGGGGCTTTTTAGCCTGCAGCCTCGATTGCCAATATTCAGAGTTTACAATACATGAACAACAGTCCAAAAAGTTTCATAAAAAGAAGGGAAAAAAATGTAGGAATGGAAACAGTTGGGAATGAAATTCCTGTCCTGGGTGAAAGTTGTAATCCTTTATTGATTTCAGCT